AACATTTCACCAAATCTATTAGGTGTCTCACCGTGCGATTTTTCCCGAGGTGCATAATGGGTGGAGAGATTCAAGGATGGTCAAACTAAAACATGGCATGAGGGTATGAAAAACCCTGATCAGAAGACTGGGTCGCGTTATGTCTGTTGATGGGAGACCTCGGGAAGTGAAGGTAAGTGAAGGTTATAGACACTAAGTGATATGTCTGAGTGTCTTAAACAGAGATGATCATCCATATTCTTAATCTCCTTGCAACCTGAGTTTAATAAAATTCTATGTTTTCACTTTAATAATGCTGTGAACATTCCAATCTACTTTGTCTCTTTATTCAAATTGGCCACCAAAAGACAACAACTAAAACCGCCGCATAAAAGTGTATTAATAATGGTTGTGGAAGTTGCATGGCTTAATATTGTATATAATAACATGAGAATATCAAAGTAGGGAGTAATCGTCACCTATTGACCGAAGGTTCTTGCAGGTCTGCCAAACATTGGCGTATTAGAGTGTTTTAAATGGAACACGGAAGTTTTTAATGTCATGAACCTTATCCATCAGTAGAATTTGTCACGGAGAACTTCAAATTGGATTTGAATTATCGGTTGCCTTTAGAAATGCCTAGTGGCCAATTCGATAAACTCGCTTAGTAAAGCGGACATGGATGCAATAGGTAGGCTATCTGGAACGGGATCAAATGCAAAATCGATTACGTCGGGTGAAAAGCCACGTTTAGTGTTTAAACGAAACAGATTTGTGTAATTTGACTAGTCGGGAGGGAAATCGAAATGCACTGGCTTATGGGGGAAAACACTGTCATACATCATCACATGAGAAAGCGACAATGCGCGTGGATAGTTTTCCTCTGATGGACGCTTATCAATCATAACTTCCATCTCGTTCGGATCCTCTGCATATTGCTAGACAAGCTGATATAACAAAATGCTAACATCGATAATTCTTGTGCTGTACTAAAAAGCTGCCTTGTACACAGCTTTGAATAAGAGTAGCATTGAGGATGAGAAAGAGCTGAGCAACAGTATGTAAGAAAGGTGTAATGAAGTTTTGGAGGACAGTGAACTGACCGGTGAGGTAAGGAAGCATGTATTAGTGGTGCACTGTACCCATAATTTTTGCATTCTAATGAGATATATTTATGAATGATATTTTCATCTGATCTAATTTGCTGATTATTTTTACTCCACATCATAGGTCAGGACTTGGGTGATAATTTTGTAAAGCCTGGCTTCTATTAAATTTGAGTATCTCTGATGGCACTCGCAGTGTATTAGCAGCACGATCAACACTATTCTGTCGTTTATGCATCGGTTCATTAACTATTTAAATGTGCTGGAAATGTTTGTGATAACCGACAAAAAGCACTGGACAACCGTTTCATCCTGTTTGGGACTCGTCAGCAAGGCGTACTTTTTGTGTCCCCGACAGGACTCGAACCGCAAACATTCGGGTTGGCACTTTATATCCTTACCCCTGAGCTAAACGATCGATGGTTATCACCTTGTGCGAATGATTCAATCAATTTAGACGGTGAATTTTTGGATTTAATGCATTCAACTAGTGGTGAATTAACAAGTTCCCAAGGAGTGACCCATACCCAAGATCATCAATAGTGCCTAGTGCCTGTACAAAACCGAATGGGTTAATCCAAACATTCACCGTCTAAAGTTCGTTAAACAGAGTAATTTAATTTTGACCTAAAGTTTCAACCCCCTACCAAACTGCTTAGAACTGATTCAGAGAATTTTATAGTTTGTAATCAGTTCACCAGCAAGCAAATGATACAGTGGTCAATTATCTTTCTGTGGTTATAGCTAGTTGAAACAACTAAACCTTATTCAGAGAATGATCCGTTCGAATTTCCGCTAAAATTCAATTCCCCCTGGAATCAATCGTTATTTTGTCTATTTGCGATGACATCGGCAGCAGAAGCAGCAGCTGAAAAACACATGAACAAACTGTTTTTTTTTGCTGTTTGACTACCAATCCAGATTGTCTTATGAGAACGGAATACTCTAGTTTGAATTACCTGTTTAGGTTATTTGTTACGATTTTAATTTCCCCAATAACCACTACCTTTAGTTCAGCAATCGACTTGTAGTAAAGTTATCAACCGAATGACAGAGTTGAGACTGATACACACACTTGCACTTCAGTTATCATCCAATAAAGAAGTAAACTATAATTTTGTAAAAGTCAAAATAGACGCGGATCAAGAACCAGAACCACAGCTGGAATGGAAACACGGAGCCGCGCTGATAATCACACCCGCGAAATCTACCGACATCGAAACTCCGGAAGAAAGTTCACAGACATGGTGGTTAATTTATTGAAAGTTATCAAGAGAAGTAAATGATATGCATGAAGGGATATAATCGTCCATACAGGCATTCACCAATCTCCTTGCTTGTTCTTCTCGTCAAATGACACTTGTTTGAACCACATGACTTTTGATTGGTCGAGACCGTTGACCTTTGAATGGCTGTCCTGAAGTTGTAACGTATAGCAAATTGGCTGTTTGTTTTTTCTCGGCGGGTTGAGTCACCACAAATTGCATTCAACCTCGCATATAGCCGTCTTAACTTTAGTTTAGTTCATCATAACAACTTGAGAAACGCGCCTGAACTCACCTCCAAATAGAAGGAATTTTAAAAGCAAAACAGTATGGCGAACAAGCTTGTTTTCGTAACTTCGTCTTCAGGCCTTTACAGTTATGTGTGCGTATTTATATCTCATGTAGAAATAAACGTGGCTGGACCATAGAGGTTATGTGTGAAAATGCAACAATGTCTGTCAAGTTTAATCGGGGTCAGTGGATAAAATGGGGACAGTGGGTGAAAAAGGGGTGGGGGGGGAAGGTCAATTTTGGATTTTTCGGTGACCTTTCTTTTCATGTGTCATTTGTCACGTCATGTTGCGTCATCATGATACGATTGAGGTCATGGTTCGGGTCATCACGTAGGTTTGATTGAGGCCAAGGCAGCTGAAGTGCGGCAACCATCTTCTTCTGTTTGCACAGTGGTGGGTTCATGATTTTGATTGCTACAGCTTCCGCTGTTGACAAGTGACGTATCCGAACTTGCTTTGATTTGTTTTGGGGTACTTTGTAGATGACTTTGAAAGCGTCGTTGTCTGGCTGATGTCCGGTATCAGCGAGGTGGCCCATAATCGCACTGGTTATTGTTTTCTTGCAATTCGTTCTCAGCCAAGCCGGTTTATGTTCTCTGATCCTTTGGGAGAGCTGCCTTATCGTTCGTCCTACATAACTTGCCGAACATGTGCAAGTGAAAGAATAGGTAATCATAGATGAGGAGAGGATTGGCAGCTTATCCTTGAGGTTTGTGCAGAGCTGAGGCCGGCTTGTAAACATCAAACGTAGAGTGGCGGCTGGGAATGTTCTTATAGTAGCTTTTTCCAGACGTCTTCTTAGTATATCACCACTCGAGTCTCCTTTGAACGGGAGTTGCCAGAATAGTTCTTTCTTTTTGACCGTGCTTGGTTTAGGCATTGTTGGCTTTTCTGTGAGATTCCTCTCGATGAACCGCTCCGGGTATCCGTTATTGAGGAGTGAGGATTTGATGAATTTAAGTTCTTCCTCCACTAGATCCTTGGAGCAAATCATTCGAGTTCTGTAGGCCAAGCATTGGACTAGGTTTCGTTTAAATTTGGTTGGGACGANGGGACGAAACTTTGAAAATGAGTGTATTGGCCGTTCCATGTTGGCTTTCGAAAAATAGAACGGGATAACTTTCCACTGGGCCTCTTCTTCAGGTTGAAGTCGAGGAAGTGAAACGTATCTTCATTTTCTGTTTCCATTGTAAAGTCGATTGAAGGATGAGCTCGGTTAAAACAATCCAATATTATGTTCGGTAAAATACTTTTGTCGGAAAGGATAAAAATATCGTCAACATAACGGCAGTATAGCGGGAATTTTAGTTTATCTAAACAGCTAAATAACTAGCATAATATAGGATCCAGAGATATAACTTCCAAGGCAGTTTGAGGATTCAGTACATGAACCAAAACTTTGTTTTGTAAAAATATCAGTTTGAACGATGAAAAGGATAAAAATTCAGATTTTACACTCAGATAAGGAGAGGTCGATGATAAAGTATCCTACATGCCTTTCAATGAGTCCTGTACCACTTGCGCTTCTGTAGTGAATAAAATCGAAAATCGATGTCAACGTTTCCACAGTCCTGGATAAATCAACAGAACTCGTTATTATCTGAGTTGTGAACACAAAACCTGCAACTACTCATAAATCTGAACTTTTCGCGTTCCACTTCCTCTATCTGTTTACACAGGATATGCTCCCGATCGAATTTACATTCGCTTTGCCAATCCGACAAACCTCGCAAACGAGCAGTTTGCGTAACTCACCTCTCATTCGGCAATTGGAAGCAATACACAGTGTGGAAATCAGTTTTCGCAACATCTACTCCCTTTTCGATTCCCACGTGATGGTCAGTGTGAAAGGCTTATCGTGCAATTCCCGTGAGACAAAGGCAGCTTGTCAAGCCCTGATGCAATATTTTTACGGGCCGAATACGGTAAGGCTGACAATTGGTTCAGTGTTTGAGATTAATCCGACTTGTATCTGGACTTTCGCGAGGGCAATAAACAGATTTTACTTATGTGTAATCAAGTCCCGAACAAATTCAACCGTCCACTCTGTGTGTAACTTGGGGACATGGAGGTTTTACGCCTTAGCTCCGAGGCTCCACAGTATTTTAATCGGTACAAGGACATCGGTGTGATGCGAACTGATGTTAAGTCTCAACAGCTTTCCACTGCTCTTTGTCGGTCATCCCAAACAAAATTGCATTCATGTTTGGAAATTGGGTAGTATATCGCGAGCGTTTGGTTGGGTGCGGATAGCCGTTCTCTTCTATTTCATTTTGCTTTTCATTTTACTTCCGTTTAGTGAATATACAAAGATACAATTTTCAGGAAGGGGAGAAGCGGCCAATCAATGGCCTGCCAGGGCTAACAGGAATAATTGCTTTACACCTCCTTCAATGGCTTGGTATCGTATTGCGTATGCTTGCCCATCGAATACCTTTCCGTGCTCTCTTTCCATGTGCCGGGAAAGGCTGGAAGAAGCGGCGCGGCGGTCAGACCATGACATGGCGTAGAGGTACGAAGAAGCTGGCCTCAACTTTAGCTTAGGTTGGTGCATCTCATCTTCCTGATTGGGGCCCAAGGGATGAGGATTGTCAGTGGTTAGAGGCACTAAGAGATATGATCCATAATACAAGTCAGTGGATTGAATGCTGTACGGTCTGCCTGTCGAAATCCCGTGCCCTGTAAAAAACAACAAACAACACAAAAAAATATCAAAAACTGTACGGTGAAACAATCAAAAACATTGTCTTATTGTCATTCAAATTAACTGTCTGACCTCCTTTTACTGTGTTGTGTATGCCAACCTGACCCCCTCCCTCATGTTCTATTATTCTTACTGTTGCGTTGGCATCAACCTCGGTGATCAATATAATATAATAATATTATGTGGGGAAAACGCAAGCCTTTTGTTCACAATCTCTTTCCCGAACTTGATTTTCAGTTACAAAGTAAAAATAACGTTGCCGTTGGCTTTAATGTCTACCTATTGATGGTTCGTTTTATCCGTTTTTGATGCATGACTGAAAAAGGCTGTGTAGGGGTAATACGTTTTCTTTAAATGATATTTCGTACAAATTTTCGAGAATTATTGTTCAACCCTATATTTTAGTCATAGGATTATGCAAATTTTCATATGATGACCGGGTCGAAATTGAGGGTAAATTTGTACAAATCGATTCAGAGAAGGAAGCGATGGTTTTTTCACAATCTGATGACCATCGATTCAGCCCGCAGCGGATAGTCTAAACCAATGACAGTATCCCGTAGAGCCTTCAAAACGCATCATCTAATGGATTGGTGTAGAGAATTTGTTTGGAATTCTCCATAATCGCATTCCGAATGAATTCTCTCGTATTTTTGCACAACCAATTTAAACTCCTTAGTTCTATGCAGCAGCTTACCACCATGCCATTTAGGGTGAATTTCGGAAACTACCACTTTGACTTGCGAAACCGTCTTTTTGAATTGAGAAACCATCACTTTGAACTGAGAAACTGTCACTTTGGATAGAGAAAGAAATGCTGTGGTTGTGTCCGCTTCCGTTCAGTGCACCTCATTGGTCAATTGATCACACGATTTTTCTATCCCCAGATTGAACACGTGTCTTCCCAAGCTCTTTCTGCACTGAAATGAAGAAGATATCAGTTTTGCATATTGTCGAGCTCGCTGACGGACGTGGATTCGGTGAAGTTTAGAGGCTGAGCTGCTTTTCATTATTGACCTCGCAACCAAAACCAGTTACACCTTAACTGCAGCTAGTCCATTCTTGACTAAACCCACAGAACTGAGCGCAACAAAACGCACTCGATTCGTTTGATAAAAAGGTTTACTGACTGTTGGAAACGTATTGTGGCATAAGGAACGCCGACAAATTACATAACATTGCAGTGGACGTTTTTTTCACCAGTTCGTGATTAGAAAGCAGACTGACCACTGTTGGGACTCTAAAATCAAACTGTGGTAATCTCTCGGCAAGATATTGCAAGATAATGCGACAGAAATGAAAATCAGCATTTCTTATGTTAGATTTGTTCATAAGGTCAGTTACAGCCAGCCAAGTAGACTAGCAGTTAAATAGCGTGATGTTCGCATTGATGTAAACAGAATTACTGGATCATGTATACCTTACTGTGGTGGTTTACTGATTTAGCCGTCATCGATGCGCTTGCAGAGATCACCGATTTGGTCCGAACAGTAAAGGGAGACATGCGAAGAACTCGAAAGTCTCACTCCTGACTAAGTGAGCAGCACATCGGTTCAACTGTGCGACAATGCACAGAGCGTTTTCTTCAAACCGGATCGACCAAGAATGGTAGACGGGCTTGTGGGTTGTGATCACTCATTACCACAGTTGATATAATTTTGTCGGGTAAAAGTGCAACTGAACCGCTGCGAAAAACTCGACCCAGCAATAGTGTGTTTCGGTCTTGTTGAAGCACCTGTTATATTTACTACGAAATAGAGACACTATTTGAAATAACAATTTATTACGATTTTCATTGACTAACTCTTTTGTGGGAATCACGCATTAGTCTTTCATTAACTGTTTTGGCAGATTGTCGTTGTAGTCGACCTAAACTTTGGCGCGTATTAACAACGTTTATTTGCCAATCCTCCAATAAAACGGATTCCAAATTTTTCAATAATCCAGTTATTTGTGAATATTTTTTTTTAGACAATTCCAGTCAGCATGTCCATCAATATGGATCCGAACTATCAGGTTAATTTTCTCGGACACCGGACACCGGATGATCTGAGTCAACTTGTGCACCAAACCACGGATGCGATCATCACCGTTCAAGATTCCCGGTATCTTAACGACACAGACAGTAGTCCAGGAACAAATCAATCCGGATCGATTTCGCGTTTGTCACAATCAAGCCTAACCCGGAAATCGCGTGCGAAACCGGTGAAAATTGAAATTCATGGAACTGTGGACAGTGTGTTCCTGGCCAGACAACTAATTTCGGTAGGCCATTTGGTTCGATTTTGCTCATTCGGAAGTTGATCAAATTCTAAACTCTTTCCTACCTGTGATTCTATCACTCGTGCAGTTAATTAACTGATAATGATATTATGTAAATTTAATATGTCGCGATTTCTCGTAGATCATCCGGGATAGCTCAGGGGTTAGAAATTCGGATTAAAATCTTGAAGCTTTGAAAGACAACCGACCAATCCGATTGTAAGTGCATATTTAGACTAAAAAAGGTAATGCGATCCGATAAAACCAAGCTATAAATTCATTAATTCACCTTAAAGACTGCATTGGTTGTTATCAATGAGTTCGGACAGGTTGTTTATTAAAACACATTGATTAATGAAGAGCCCTGTAAGGGTTATGGATGGCATCATCACAGTTATTAACATTAAGTATTAGGTTACAGGCCATCTGGGAGTCAAAAATGGAGTTGATGGTGACCGGTAAAACCTGCCAAATAGCACTTAATATCTATGTCATCTGCAGTCGGACTACGTACAGCGGGGAATGAAATATTGAACAAAAAACATCCTTAAAATACCCTGGAATAAACTTATCGAAAGAATATTGACGTATAATTAGATTCTCGGTGAGAATGGAACACTTTCGTCATGTGTTTCGAGTGTGTGTGTGTGTGTGTGTGTGTGTTGTTTTTCATTGGCATGGCATTAGTGTCCGTTAATTTTTCCATAATATTCTCTTTCATCAGCAGTCCTGGTGCTGAATCCCGATCCAACCGGCTCACAATTGTGTATCGTTGTTTGTTTTCTCTATCCCATTCAATACTTTGCTGATTGATGATGAAAAAAGGGTTTGGTAAATATGTGTTTGTCTTACATTTATGATGTGCTTGTAACGAGTTTGTATCATTCAAGCAAACTTCTGTCTCACTCTCTCTTACTAGAAAACGCAAAACCAAGCTGTAGCATGAACCGCATCAGCTCTGTCCGTGTGTGTATGCATCTGAAGTCCTTTGCAGCTGGATGCTTTTGTGTCAGAACGCTTACATGGGATCTGCAGACGGTTAACTTATGGCGCGAACTAGTTTCGTCAACTCTGATTTGTCCAAGTGACCATGAACAAAATAGAGCGCGGTTGTCTTTTACTGAACCGGTGATCCTGTCGCTAGAAATTCAGGGCCCTGCCTCAAAGAGCAGTGTTGTATCAAGAAAACCTGGCATTTTCACATCAATTCAATTCAAAATGGTTGATTGATAAGAAATTAAAATTAACTGTTATTATTATCAATATTATTATTATTGTTATCACTATTATTATTATGACCAAACCAAACAAAAAAGTGCTCAAAAAAGCCACTCACGGTGCTATGTTATAAAAAAACATGTGAGGCGAATATTATCGGTAAGCTGCTCAAAAAAACAGTGCAGTTGGTGGTTCATGAAAATGATCTATGTCAGTTTGGGCGACTGGCCTGAATTTATCAGCACAAGTCAAGTCACAAATCGCTTTATTCATCCTATTGAATGGATTTTCAGCTGCTTGCACACATCAGGGTCATTTATCACCGCAGCTGGCCACAGATAAAAAGTTCAATAAAACATCGCAAATTCAAGAGGAAGGTTGCTTCAAAATGTGAAAATGTACAACAATTACCGACGATATTTTTATTGTCTCTGATGGATGCATTCCGTAATAGAAACCCCCGAAGATATAGAGTGAAGAACAAATGGTAGGCAGTGATATGAGTGTATGCAAGTGTATAACGACACTTAGTTGCGGAAGTGCTTACACATTATTTAAGCTCTGTGTGTAATGATTGAGTGATGTTTGATAGAATATTGTTGCTGAAGTTTTCCTAAGGGGTAAAATAAAGAATTGTGTTGCGTTTAACTACAACACCGGCAATTAAAACTGAGAAGTGGTGAAGAAGAGGAGTGACAATTCATGATTATACAGAAAGGGTGGGTAAATGCAGTGAAACTTTTAAAGATCTCAAGCAGAAAATAACGAAACACCATTTTAGCAGAGTTAAAATGGGAAATCCAGGTGATATTTTAGCAGATAGTAACACCGAGATATCGTGGAGAACGTACTAGGGTACAGATTGGCTACCGACATAAATTATAGAGTAATTTATTTCAAAAGAATGTAGCCATTTACCTTTGACGAGTAAGAATGTGACATTTAGAAGGTGACGTTTAGAGGCATTGATAGATAATTTTGAATGAGAAGATCATAAGCCTAAAGTAGATAAACTAGTTTGAAGCTGTGAGAAACAGGGATTTGCAACCCATAATGACAACATCAGCATATTTGATGAGATCACTTGGGTCAGCGGGTAAATCTCGCGCACATGGATAGGCTTCAAATAACCAAAGCATTGGAGATGTAAAACTATTATTCGATTTTTAATCACTTATCAATCGCTCTGAAAGCCTCCGCAAGGTTGGTGGTGGATGTCTTTGGTTGTGGCTGGTCACCCTTCCCTTGCATCTCGTGAAATGCTCCCATACGACCAGGTGTCTCAAATAGCCTGTGCGGTGGAAGCTTTACTCACTGCCTTCCCGTTGCAGAGGTGATTTCCCACCAAATTGACAGAATAAAAAGCCCAAATCCGGTGCTATTACCGGATCGGTGAACCACCTAGGGGAGCTGGCTAGAAATCCTGATTCTGAACCAAACAAGAAGAGGCGTTCGAACCACACACACACACACACCTTAGTTGTGTCAGTAATCACCGGCTCGATTGGAAATCGAGGTGTATTGGGCACTTTGGATGTTTGACCCTGCGCAAAATAAACTCCATACCGGTTCCCAATAGATTACGGTTTTCACACACCGACCCGGTGCCTTGCGGTTCAGAGTTTGGCTGCCCGAAGGCTTCGGATGTGGATTCCTCAAGAAAATTCACCTGCCTTTGCCTGGGAGAACTGGCGGTATTCAGGTCACATGCAAATCGTGGAACCCTTTTATTTTTTTACAAAGATTAATGTACAATGATTTGTTTGGCATACGTTCTAACCTCAGACGTGTGTGTGAAATATAATAAAATATGATATCAATCGTTCAATTTAATACTTGTTTTCACAATATCTTGTTTATAGCGGTCATCTCTAAGAACAAGGTATTTTGGTCCTTCTTCGTCTGATGTGTTTAAGCTTTAGTCGCGTTGGTCTTTCGCGTTTATTCAGTTGTCCTTGTAGGTAGCTTTTGTAACGGGGCTCTTGTAGTGCCGAAAATTCTATCCGCATGCCTTTGACTGTCAATCAAAGGTTTTGCGAAAACAATCTTGAGCATTTATGAAATCTGCTTCAACTAGTCCAAATCCTGCTTCTGCATTGGGTGAGATCAAGGAGATTCGAATGATAAGTAGAAACAGTAGAACGAAATTCGATGCGGATCTTGCTCTGAGAGACAGCGTTGTGAACTTGGAATGTGCCGAGGATGTTACTCTGCTCAATGGCACATATAACGCACAATGTGCTTAATTGTTTGGCAATTATGCACGCTTCGCGTAGGGTGTGCTTTCCCCATTCAAATGCAAGCTGTTGCCTGTTTGACAGAAGCCTAAACCAGCACCCTGGATTTGGTTGCAGGCTATGCTTAGCTTACGAGTTGTACAACATCTGGTTGGGTTTTGGATGAGGCTCGCAATGCCTAATCAACGCAGAATTGGTGTTAGCTATTCTGAGGGACATATGGCTTTGATACGGCATATATATATATATATATTTCAATGAACTCCGTGTGTTTAGGGCAACCGTACCTACTGCATTGCTCTGTGGTGACGAGAACACATTACCGATTAGATCATGACCAACACTTAATTGTTTCCGGTAGTTGTTGTTGTTTGCGCAACACCACCCACGTACTTGAAATATCGCATGAAGAGGTTATGTGACGAGTGTTAGTAGTCTTCATTTATGCAAAATAATTTCATTGACAAACGTCCCCGGAAAATTTTGGGACATGTTTACAATGCCTTGCGCATTTGTAGACAATCGATCAGTTTGAAATAAAGAGCGAGACGGACAAAATGGTAATTGAAGAAGCTGTTTTTAGATATCGCTTCCCTTAGAGCATTCCAGCCTTCAGGCTGAACCCATTTGGTTGGAGGCACAACAAAGAGTAACATTGAATCGAATTGGTTGGAATGATTGAGTTCTTGCTTCTTTGGTAATCCTAATCAATAAAAAAAATGAAATTGCTTGCAAAAAGAATCTTGCTCTGAACCGATTACTTACTTATTCTGCTCTATTCCCGTCCTAATCTTTACAACCCTTTGGCTATTCTGACATTGTTCTCTGTGACAGAAAGCACGGATGAAACGAGGGATATTTTGTGCACTGAGAGAATGAAAATTTAGGAAAGATCGCTTCTTATTCAAATTCAGTTGTTTTGTTTGTTTTTTATTATGGGTAATTTACATAGTTGAAGCTTATTGGATCTCATGATTGGTTTTCATATTGGTTGTTGATAAAACTACGGGGGGATAAAAAAAATCATCATGTCTATTCATAAGATGCTGAACAATTAGTTGTTTTAACGGTTCATCAAGTAACAATTTGAGTAAATCAACGGTTGAACCAAAAACAAATTGAGACGGAGAAGAGTTCTAAGTAGTAGTACATACTCTGAGGTTGAATGAGTGAAGTCGCCAATCTGATCGACTCTTTTGGAGCACTGGATGTCCCTTGATGTGATCATTCTTTGGTAGTGTCTGCAGAGTACCACATGGTTAGTCAGGTTGAAGTAGCATTTGAAATAAGCGGAGCATAGCTCCCAGAATTCGGTGCTTTTTTCAAATGAACTGAGTCCGAGGATTTGACGAATTTTAACATAGGTATTGGATTGGTTGCCATTCTCTGCTTGATAATCGAGTGCTTGTTTGTCACGTTCTAGCCAGTGATTCTAAACTTGGATAGCATAATTGGTGTGTGGCTCAATGTATGCCGATTGCAAATCTGTTACGAACGGTCCAAAATCACGTCCCTGAGGTTCTTACAAAATTCTTCATCGACTGTCATTTTTTAATCTAAAGCACACGTTAAAATGGTCCTAGTTAATCACAATAAACTTTTAGATGGCGTTTTTAGTCTGCTTTAATTGTCAAAATAGTCCCATAGAGTACATTTTAAACAAAACGACAGAGTCGGCGAACACGCTAGTTTTCACAGATTCGTATTCATGCCGATATATATATATATATGTATGGTGTTCAGTTGTTTGCCGAGCTTGGCAATTGTATTGCAAACATTTCATCACCAATCGAGGTGACATTCTCATTGCAGTAACTGTATATAATATATATTTTAGACGTTAGGCTCATATGAAGGCGCTCAACTGGTTTCACAAATGGATTGTGCCCTTAGATTTCAAATCCTTGACATCATTGGGGGGTTATCTGCTTGGCTGTGGTGCATCGTACTTTCGCATTTCTTGATGAACATGATGAGGCATTTGTCTGGTGTATTCAGTACACAGGTTCATCAAGTTACTGATCATCAGAAACCAATTGAACCACTACATTCGGCTTAATAAGAGTCCTTGCCAGCCCATTTGTACAGAATCTGCGGGAATCCAAACTCGAGGATCTGGGGCTTTCTCGAATGAGTCGGACACGCTGCCTTTTTAAGCTATATCGGATGAATTTGAGTTTACTGTCACAGGTCAACACTAAAAGCAGCTCATTTCCATCAAAGAGTTTGGATTCATTTAACAGTTAGACAATCCAGTAACATAAAAATAGCTCCGAAATCACTCTTAAATTTATACTAAATTTACCTGGGCATCTTTCACTATTCCTTTCCATCCTTCTTTCATGCAGAATCTGCTCCCGGTCACCTTGGTGTTTGGGGTTTTATCGGAGGAATGTGAGTGGCTCAAGCATGTGGATATCGCGCAACTTGCAGAGCAATACGATGTGACCGTGGATATTAATACGAAAATACGGCACCCCATCCGCGTAAGTCTCCTCGGTGATTTTCTTTCCGCTGTCCCACCCTGCCAACTCGATCATTTTATTCATTTTCTCGTGCATTAACCGGTGTACGATTAAATTAGGTGACGATGGACGATAGAAGTACCATTTTTTGACATTGCTTTCTCGACTGTTGTCGCCAGGTGACAGAAACTCGTGTGTGTGTGTGTGTGTGTGTTGTTCAGTCTGTACCAAATGTAATTTGAGTAGTCATGTCAACAAAACCATAAAACACGGAGTCATGAAGGATTCCAATAAGAACAGAGAACTATAAACAATATAGCGAACGAGCTTGTCCACAAACTTCACCTTTGGACATTTGCAGTATATATAAAAATATATATATTTATTTATATATATTTCACGCACGACTGATGCCAAACTGTATCCCAACTAGATCATGGTACAATAATCTTTAGAAAAAAGGAAGGTTCCCTGATTTGCATGTAGACTGAATACTGCCAGGTTTCCCAGGCATCGACAGGTTAATTTTCTCGAGGAATCCACAACCGAAGCCTTCGGGTAACCAAAGTCTAACCCACAAAATCACGGGTTGCTGTGGGAAAAAAGCAACCCATTGGGGGTCGGTGTCGAGTTCATCGGATCATACACCCTTTGGACGGGGTCAAACGTCTGATGTGTTCAATACGCCTCAATGCCCATTCGAGCTAGTGACCACTGCCACAACGGGGAAGATGTGTGTGTGGTTCGTACGTCTCCTCTTGGTTGCTTTGGAATCAGGGTTTTTGGTCAACTCCCCTAGGGGAATTATCAGTGGTCCACCAACCCGGCTTGTTCTGAA